TTAAGTTCAGCTGGTAGAAAAAGAAAAAACATTACTAGTAAATAAGAGATGTTCATCTCTCTATTGCCTACGAGTCTAAAAGCACATATTCTAGATGTACGTGGCAGCTCTGCTCCACAAAGTTCTCTGAGATACAAGCTCTTCCAGCTCACAGCTCCACTCACCTTTATCTTAATGGACAAGGTAGCATTCCGAGTTCCAGGAAAGTTAGAAGAACAGAGAAAAGTTTGGAGAAGAAGGGGCAAGTGATGAGCCCACTGCTTCTTAAAGGAAGTTTCTGGATATTATCACAGGACACTTTTACTTTTATCCCATGGTAGACTTTAATTATGAGGCCACAACTATTGCAAGGGAGGCTGGGAAATGTGGTTTTCATTTGGCACTGGCAGAAATTCTATTGCTTTGAAAAAAGGGGAGCACTGATACTGGAGACAATGATAGCCTCTGCTGCGCACAATCTTATCCAGTCTTCCTGCAGAGTATTTCTCACTACTATGTCCTTGGTTTTGCTGACACTAATCCCAGTTTTCCTCTCCTCTGTGTCTTCTTAAGCTTTTCTGCACTCTTTCTTCTCGGCTCCATTCAGTGTTAGTATTCCCTGCATTTGGTCCTCAAGCCCTCTTCTTTTCTCACTCTGTGAACTTGCTTCATGATCATATCAAATTCACGGCTTGTACTACCCAAGTTTTACATACCTACATCTCTTTCTCAGATCTTTTTTTCCTGAATTCCAAACTCATATATCCAACTCCATAAAGGACTCCTCCACTTGAATATACTGTGGGTGATTCAAACTCAGTACACCTAAGATTAAACTCATCATCTTTCCATGTAAACCTTCTCCTTATCCTGTCATCATTGTCTATCTACATGCTTTCCAAAGCCAGAATCCTGGGGTATGTCTGGTATTATCTTCTTCATCTCTCACACAAGTTCTATGTCCCTTTTCTTTCCCTCTTTTCCATCCTCCCAGCATTTGCTTTAGTGGTAATGGCTATAACATCTACTGAGCAATCGCACATGCCAGTTACTGATTCAAACCCAACCCTACCCATGATTATTCCATTTTCAGATAAGGAAATTAAGAAACTGAGCAGTCCAGTAACTTTCCCAAATGTCATATGAGTAAATGGTAAAACCAGGATTGGAAACCAGGCAGCTGATTATTCAGAGCACTCTTACTTAAATGGTTTGTCTTCCTGTTGCAGGCCTCATTATGTATTTCTTGCATTACAAAAACCTTTCCATTGGTTTCTCATTCAGTCTCACTACTCCTCCCTCAAATTCTATCTTTCATGTTACTCACTACTAGAGTCATCTTCCTAAAACACAATCCAATCAGTTAAGTCGGCTGCCTAAAATCTATCAGTGCTTCTCCAACCCTTCAGGCTGAAGTTCCAACTCCTTAACGATAACAGGTCCCTGTGATCCTGGCTCTTGCCGGCCAGTACAGCCTCTTCTTAAACCCTCCCACAGACATTGTACCTTCCAGCCATACTAGACCACTTATAGTCTCTGCACTTCTATACTCACTCATAGCACCTGTTTCAAGGGCAGGCTGTTAGGAATAGCTCAAAGGTCTGCAAGAGCAGAAGACGTGACCATCTGTTTTATAGCTCTGTCATCATGCTTTTTACATAGTGTGGTAAGTGGGAGTCTGCTCTTCCTACTCTGTTACTGGCCTTCAGGAGTTCCCTGAAGAAAGTTTTAGTTTCTGTATCTGCAGGACCTAAGGAACTGCTTGGTGCCTAACAGTCACTCATTAAACTTTTATCAAATAAGGATGAAGTAAAGAATATAACTACTTCATTCCCTTTTATGGCATTGTCCTAAACAAGGCCTAGTAGCACCAGGTGATTTCTTGAATATTATTGGTTTTACCCCAGTTTACTTATCTGCAGGGGAAATTCATCTTGGAGTGGAATCAGATTAATACAGAAGCCATACCTCTCTTTGGCATGGCACATCTTGGGGATAGACATGAGGGTTTGGAAGTACAGAATAGGAAAGAGGAACATGAATATACTTACATTAGTGAAGGGAGCAATTTGCAACATAGGAGTAATGATACCAGATATGAAGTGTGTGCAATATTTTTGGAAGTTGTTTTTAGAGGAAATAACTAAGGAAAAATGGTGCATTTTTTTTCTTCTCCGCATGGCAATTGCTTTCGGGGGAAGCCAAGGCAGAAATACTTGAGCTGTAGAATTTTTACAAGGAAGTACACAATGGTTATGTTTATTTTATAGGATTCCAGTTCTTGTGTGACAGGCAGCCAGAAGAGAAATCACCTTTGCTGGTCCTGGCCCAGCCCCTTCTCCACTCCTAATCATCCCTTCAAACCCACAGACATTAGACAGAGCCGTTGTCCTTCACCACTGAAGAAACGCAGCTGAGTACGTTACCGTGGAAACAGAATCACTTTTTGCTGCAAGACACATCACTTTAACCACACTATTATGAAGCAGAATACATTGGTAGTGCTGGAAGCACAGTCAAATATTCTGCCTGCCACTATTGTACTTGGCCTTTGGGTGAATACATGACTTTCAATTAGAGTGCTTAAATACCTCTTAAGTGTAATAATTTCTATTAGAGCCCCAACTGAATTTTACTCGGAAAAGAGTAAAAAATTCAATTGCTGTTAAGGAGAGAGGTATAAATTCTTTCAAACTAGACCACCTCTGTTAAAGGAAACACTAGGGAATGAATGGTTTCTTTGTGTGCAGAATAAATGTCTTTGTCCTTTGGTTTCTGACTTGATCATATTGTGGATTTATGAGGTTGTCCTTACCTCTTTCTTTGTCTCTACTCTAAACTGCTTTGTAGTGAACATACAGACTGACAGTTTCATCTTGTGTTGGGCTATGTGTATTCAGATTCTCCCTTCTTGGTTTGCCCATGAGCTTCGTCTGAGCCTGCAGCTTACTCCCACATCTGGACCTTAATTCCCTCACGCAGCCAGTCCTCATTCCCTTCGCTACCTGGCTGTGTCACCAGGAGGCTCTCCTCATCTCATGTCCAATCCTAAATCCAGTCACTAGCCTATTTGATTTTTCTCTTCTTGTAACTAGTCTATTTCTTATTGCTTGTGTTGCTATCTTAAAGAGCAAATCTGTAAGTCCTACACTGGGAAAAGGATCAAGTCAGTAAAATCCCAGAAACAAAACAAGACTTCCTCATCTCTTCAGTGTTCTTTCCAACTGCATCATTTTGTACATGTTCATGCAAGTGCTTATGTGTGGAGGGCCAATGATGCTCACGGTCACTGGGTTTCATTAAAGTCCAAGAAAAAAGCACAAAACCAAATAACCAAAACACACACACACAGAGCCTAACTATAATCCCAGGGAAATTCCATATAATCAAAGAGAAAGAGAAGTCTTTTCCTGGCTGGATAAAATTAGATAAGAATATAATACTTTGAAAGTCCTAGTGTTTTAATTCTGAAGATTGTAGTACAGCATTAAGAGACCAGTGGCACTTTCTGAGGAACTAGTCAGTGTGAGGCATTTTTTACATCTATATTCCATTTAATTCTCACATCCATCTTGAAAGTCACTATATTTCTATTTTGCAAATGAGAGAATTGAGGCTCAAAGAATTTTTAAAAAGTCACTCCCAAAGTCACCACACAAACCCTAAATTACTTTGATTTCTGATTCGGAGTTCAATGTTCTTTCCAAATACATCATTTTGTACAGTATCCAGGGGATCTCTGGGTGGTGCAGGGCTAACAACAAAGGAAAAAATAAAGAGAATATGGTCTTTAATCCTTATTTTGCTGCCTCCTGACAGGACTTTGGGAAAATTATTTGTTTCAGTCTCACATTAGTCCACCCTTATTTAATGTGGATAAATAACCTCTTCACTTCTCATATGTATAGAGAGTTAAGTAGTTAACGTGTGCAAAGCAGGTTGAAAATACAAAGGGCACTTGTACTTCTGTAGGAAGAATGCCTTACCCTTATCACCACAATAGGTCCAGAGCAGTAGGTCCATATCACTCACAATCAGGTCTGTCCCAAGCCATTATCAATCCCAAATTTGCAATGTCTTTGAAAGCAGACCCTATCGCATATTTCTTTTGTGTCCCCCAAATTATCTTAACACAGTATTGGGTTTGGTAGTGGATGTTTAACGTACATTTTTAAGTGATAGAGTGGATGACTAAATCAAATTATTGTCCATTATCTTCTCTAGCCATTAGACCTAATTTTTTCATATCAAAAAGGATTCCTTAAATGCCTGGACACATTAGCCTATGAATCCTGGTTCATAGTATTATCCAATTGATTTTTAAGAATAATGGCCATTTCTTTCTATTTTCACATCTAAGGAAATATCTTATTTCACTAAACCCCATTGCCTGCCTTTCAGAGAACCACAGAAGCATTAGATGAATTAAAATGTGAAAACAAATTTACCAAAACTTACAGTTTCACTCTCTATGCCTCTAACAATAACTGCTAAACTTCACACATACTTTCTCTTCAATTTTTATAATGATCCAGTGAAGTTGGATCTATTACTGTTCCCATTTTGTAGGTGAGGAAACAGATTCATAGAGCAAAAATAACTTGTCCAAGTCATAACCTGTCCAAGTCAAGTCTGTAGCACAGTTTGATCCAAACCCATACAGATGGATTCTGAAGTGCTCCTGGACTGGGATCCTGCACACCAGCCAAGTGCATGAAGTCCCCCTGGAGAACACCAGCTTTCTTTTGCTGCCCATCTCCAATAAGCTCTTTACCCTTTATTTTATAAAAGAAAGAAAGAAAGGAAGAAAAAGGGAGGGAGGCAAGAAGGACAGAGGAAAGGAAAAGAAAGGAAGGAGTAGGGGAAAAAGGTCGCATAATGTCCTGCACCCCTCCTTAATAACCTGGGGATAAGGGGGCCCCATCCCGCTTCTTCACACTAGCCAACACTGCTGATTAAATATGTGAAGTGCCAGTTTGGTCTGACTTGGTGTCATTTTGTCTTCAATTTGCATTTACCAGGTGAAGTATTCTTACAAATTAAAGGGCCGCTGGAGGATATTTATAAGATCTATTGCTACCACCACGACGAAGCTCACAGTGTACTGGAGTCCTATGAAAAGGATGGAGAGCTGAAGCAACATCTGAGCCACTGTATCCAGTCCTTAAAGTAAGGTCTTTTAAAATGATGATTTCCATGCACTCTCCGTTGCCTAGCAGGGAACATTTTAACTGGATGGAGATGAAAGTTCTCGTATAAATCTTATGTTTCATGAGGCTAGCTGAGAACTCTGCTTTGTGTTCTCTTTATGAAAAGCTGACATGCCAGAAACTCTGATCGACTTTTTTTTTCCCTCTGTAAGGATGACTAAAAATAACATGGGAGAAGATTTGGAGCTCTGCAGAGATAGAAAATGCAATATCAAAAAGTGACATGTGGAAGAAAAGGAGCTCCTTAAAGTGGTCATTACTTGCCCGCTCCTACATTAGGCCAAGGAAGGTGTGAGACAGAATGGCACCATAAGCATGGAAACATGTGGAATATTTAAGTTAGTAGAATATCCTATGTCAGTCTGAGTGGCCCTTACCTTCCTTCAAACTCACCTTGGGGAAAGAGGGGAGACTGGTGAAGACAAGTCAGACCCTCTGAGGTTCAGGAAAATTAGTAAAGCCTTCCTTCCTTATTCCTGAATTGCTGTTGGAAGGTCTACATAATATGCTTTTTATCTGAAAAAAATACTATTTGCTGTAAAAATCTCAAAAATATAAAAAAGCACAAATAAGATTAAACCATTGCTATTTCATTTATTAACTCCTTGCTGAACCATGATTAATAACCACAGTTTGCATTTTTTTCTGATCTTATTTATATGCAGAAATATGGACATAGATTTGGGTTGGTACTTTAAATGGAGTATGTAGTTTTCTATCACATGAGGCCAATTTTCTGCACTATTCCACATCTTACCCGGTGGTCCTTCCATTTCTAAGTATCATCCATTGTCCAATGGCCTTGATTAGGCCAACAATTAACCAAACAGAGAGAGCTGTGTTATCTAAACTGATTCACACCCACCAGTCTGATCCTCTAGCACACTCCCCCTACCACCACCACCCTGCCTCTTAAATTTTTTATTGCAGGAGGAGAAAAATGGAGGGTTGTACTCTGGTATGAGAGGTTGGTAGTTAAATTAAGGTGAAGTCAGGAAACCCAATGAGACTACAGTAGTCCCCCACTCCCCTACATCCACAGGGAATTGGTTCCCAGACTCCCACTGGGCGCCAGAAGCCAGTGATAGTACCAAAACCTACAAATACAAGTTTTTCCTATACACACATACCTATGATAAAGTTTGATTTATAAATTAGGCACAATAAGAGATTAAAAACAATAATAATAAATAGATTTATTATAATAATTTAATACTAAATTTAAAAACTAATAATAAATGTATTATTAATATATCATAATAAAAGGTGAACAAAGGGGCGCTCTCTCAAAATATCGTATTGAGCTGTACTCATCCCTCCTGTGATGATGAGAGATGATAAAATGCCTACGTAACATGATGATGTGGGATGAATGACATAAGTGTTGTGATGTAGAGTTAGGCTCCTATTGACCTTTGTCAGAAGGAGGAGCATCTGCTTCTGGACTGTGGGTAACCAAAACTGCTGAAATGAAACCTGGAATAAGGGGGCCTGCAGGACCCGGGAGAAAGCCTCTGCTGGCTACAACTGGGACTGAAAGTGGGTTTAAACTGTGCCTAAGTAATTGTTTAAATTAACTTTATCGTCCTCTTCTGGCCATTAGATTATAGTTCTTCAGCTGATTTTTCATGCAGTGGAAAAGAACAAACTCAAGCCACGCGATCACAAACGTTTATTTAGTGCTTGTGCTATACCAAGTGTAGTTCTAGTACTGAAAATACAAGAATCAAACTTAAACCCTGCCTATAAGGAGCTCAATATAACCAGGTAACTCTTCCAGATAACACGCCATGAGTAGCTCCGGCTCATAATTTCTCCACTCTTTTTGCAGTTTCGTTCAGAGAGACCTTAAAGTTTGAGTTGTATCCAGCTTAATAAATTCATATATTGAAAGCAACATCTTCCAAATATACAGATATTTTTCCCTAGGGAGAAATACTGGTGGTGTCCTAGATATGAATGAAACTTACCCTACCTTAAACTAGAGGCAAGATCTGATCTAATAAATGTCTATCTTGAGCCATTTTTCCCCCCTTCTTCAGTTTCTGGAAATAAAAGAGAAATCTCATGGTAAGTGAACAAATAGCACCTTGCATAATCATTACAACTTCAACCCTAGGAGTGAATTTACTTTGGCATGTTCCTAACAGCTCACCAGAAGTGGAGCTGTCTGTTCAGAAGGGGATGCACATTAGTTTATTATTCATTAAGGCTTTTCACTCCTAAGAGAAAGAAGTTGACCCTGTCAGAATATCCTACTAGGTCGTATAGTTTAGCATTATACTTCCTAAAAGGCAGCTTGAGTCACAGGTAATTTGGAAACTTCATGAAGTCCCAATTACTGAAAATTACTTTCAGACCCAAGGGCTTATTTGATCTTTTCCTGAAAGCCTCAAGTTATTGCCCTGGTGATGTCTCAAATCTTGAGTATTCAGCACCATTCTGATTTTAGGGAATAATTTCAGGCATTGGAAGGTACTAAGGTTTAGAAGGCACAAAATCCAGAGGAAGTAATATCAGCAGAACTATTTCTTAAGGGAAAGAAAATCAAAATAAAATGGCTTAAGTTAGAGATATTTTCCCAAGTTGCCTTTCCATGAAAATAAAGTTAATGATGAATTGTACTGGTCTGCTGAAAGCTGGGAGTAGTAGAATTATTGACATTACTATAATACTGACCTCAATTGAACTAAGCTTTAAATTCTGAGAAACAGGTTTTCGAAGAGGTTTATAGGCCAAAGAGAGTCTGAAACACCCCGAGGGCTTGGTTTCTCTTGCCAAGTAATCAGTCAAAGCTAGTACCCTGGCTCTGCCTTTTCCTTGTGGCTAAATAACAGAGCCCAAGTGCACAGTTGCCAATTTCTAATGAATATTAGGTGTGGCCTCCATTTTCTGCCATGCAAGAGGATATTGGATTGGTTTGAAGCAATATCCACAAGAGAGGTGGCTTCATGCCTCAGAAGTTAAAGCAGATTTTAAAGCAATTTAGGTTGCATTTTAACCAAAATTAAAATATGTTTATCAAGGACCTAATATTTATTAACATTAGTGTTGATGATATTTAAAATATTTAAGTATGTGTATATATATATTTATATAAAAGCATAGGTCTTGCCTCTTAGTAACAGACCTTCTACTTGAGTAGATAAGCAAAACCCTCTGGAATGTCTGATAACAATGCAGGAATTAATTTTGATAACCCATCAGAAGCTGTCACGGTGAGGTTCAAGATTAAGTAGAGAGATTTTCTGGTTCTGTAACAGATGTGAGCTCATAACCTTTGGCTATTCTTTAAAGTCCATTATCTTTCAAAAGAGAAACTAACATATGTATCCAGAAAATAACTTTGAATCCCCTTGAAACATAGAGCAGCGTCTTGGGGTGTGAGTTCCCCTGCGTCAGATCCATCAGGAATGTGTATTAAAAGTATAGATTCCTATGCTGGATCATTGGTTCTATGCTGGTTCTATAACAAAAGATCTATGAAAGTTTATTCACCCATTTTACAATGATCATATATGCCTAAATGTTCTAGACAAAGAATCAAGGGGCTTTTCCAAAAAAACTGAGGATGGCTGGATGTCCAGCCCAGGACTCTGCCCTTAAACAAGCCCCCTCAGGAGACCGAGGACACACAAGCACCTTAAGAACTGCTTTAGAAGGAGAAACCATGCCCACAGTACTCATTGCTTTCCCTGAAATGCCTGGACCTTTTCTGTGACTATGGACACAATCTAAGCAGTAATTTCAAGGTTTGAAGACCTTTAGAAAGAAAAGACTGGAACTATCTAGAAGCACAATAAACATCCGTATCTACAGCCGAAAAATTTGAAATCTACAAGTTTGTATTTATTCAACAAGGAGTATTTACAGTCACGTTAGTGACTCCTCAGATTGCATGAAATACTGTATTAATTAATACAGTCTCTAAATTTATGGAACTTATTTGCTGAAGAGCTAGTTGCTTAGTCTCTTTAGGGTTATTTAAGTTTTCTGATCTGTGCAAGGAAAGTGAAAAATAAAGTAGTTATAAATACATGTGTAGCTATAATTAGAATAGCCTGTTACTTTCTTTTCAACTGGTTTCCTAGTTAGAAATGCCACCAAAACCCTGCTGCCTTTCAAAGGTCCTAGAGATCTGTTTATTTTGGAATAAAAAAAGAATGAAGGGGATTTTCCAAGTTTTTTGGTAGCTAGAAGACACAATTCTAGTTTCATGTCTCATTGTTAGAAATTTATCTGCATTTTTCTTCTTCCTAACCAAGGCCACCATCCTCAGCAGGTGAACTAACTTCTGATCATCTAAGTGCTTTAACTGCTCATATTACTACTGTAGCTTCTCCATCAGGGAGGAAGCTAGAAGCTCGTGCAACACAGAATCCAAAGGAATAGATTTCAATTTGTTCACCACATTTTATGTTTCCTAATATTATGCTAAAAGAGTGTTCCAAGTAAAAATTAAAATTAGTTGTTATGTGGCATTATGTTTGAACAAAGACTATAATCCATAAGGAATAGCTTCATGAAAACTTTTGTTGGTTGTGAGTCAAATTATGAGTCCATGAAGGTGGAAGTGTGGTGGTAGATAAATTAAGTTACTTTATCCCATAAGAGGGTAATTGGACATCATTTAACTTCCTCCTTCCTGAATTGTCCTTGGCTAAGCTTAACTTCTGGAAAGTTTTATCTTAAAAGAGAGATTTTTTTTTTTTTTAATGATGAGCAAATAAAAAGGAGATGTGATAATCAGTGCCACTGTTCCACCACTCCAACTGGTCTGCCCTGCTGGGAAATCTCTCAGGTTCCTTTACATAGAATGTGATACTTATATTAAGCACAGTGTTTAATTTATGTTAATAATATTAAAGTTTTTATTTGATTGAAATAAATGAAATAGAGAAAAAAATTGTCCAAGTTTAGGAGCTAAAACAACAATCTTTTCTTTCAGCTTCAGCTTGGTTCTAAAATGTTCACTTGTTCACTTGTTTCCATACAAAATTACATTTTTATTTTTATTCAACTTCTCCAAATTTTCTGATTGCCAATCCATAATGCATACCAGGCAAGTGAAATTCCTCATTAGAAGGAAATGGAAATTTGGGAAAAAATGTGACCTTAAAGGAAATACTGGGTAAGGGCTGTGGTGGTGCCATTTCTTTCACTGAAGTAGAAGAGTTCTTCAAACAGCAGTTAATAATTGCCTAAATCTGTAGCAGCTGCTGATTTTTTAAAAATTATAATTCTCTGCTTGTTTCCCAACTAGGTGGTCTTAGATTCAGCAGAACCTACTTATTTTAAGATGTCTAGGAATCCATTGTTTTCCATGTATATAGAGTACTGGGATCAATTTTTTAAACCTTGTTAATTCCATTAAAATTTATGAAATTGAGCATAGGCATTTATCATTGAATCTTTTTTCAGTCATTAAACATGAAAGACCATCAACTTCTATGGGATGGGGTGGGGGAGGGTCACAAAAAAATTTTATATTGAAATCATTCACTACATTCTAAGAGAATGGAAACCAGAGGTCAAATCATCAGGTTATTAACACAGGTTATTACTTTATTTCTTATAGCCACATGAGGCTAAACTTTAGAGAAGGATTTCTATCTCCTTTGTTCTTTTTTTATTGTTAACTGAATAATTACCACTTTTTTATTGTTAATTAATTCATTTGGCAAATATGTTTTACCCTCCTACCATAAGCCAGTCCCTTTTTCAGTACTGGGGCTATCGTAGAGAACAAAGCAACATAAATCATTGCCCCCATAGGCATGGGGGAGCGAGCGAGAAGCAGCTAAGTAAGTATATAGCATATTGGAAAGTGACAAAGAGTTATGGAGGGAAATAAAGCAGGAAATGAGAACAAAGAATGCAGTGGGAGGCAGGCACAATTTTTAAAAGGTTGGTCAGGGAAGGCTTCACTGGATGGACATCTGAGCCAAACCTGAGGAAAATGAGGAGTGAGCCATGTAATACATGGAGGAAGAGCAGCAGGCCCAGAGATCTCAGGGCAGGAGCCTGCTTGTGGGCTTCAAAAAGAGCAAGGAGGCCTGTGCAATGGCTGCAGTGAGGGAGGGGAACGATCAGGAAGGAGGTGGGCAGGAGCAGCCGGCAAGGCAGATCACGTTGCCTCAGGAGGACCCATTGGACTTAAGCAAAGTGGGAGCCACAAAAGTTAGTTGCACTCAGTGAAAGTTTCTGTGGGGATTAGCTCGTTGAATGGCGAATTGTTTATAATTGGCATAATACTATATACAGGGATCAGTAGAGCACGTGATAGTAGTTTTCTATAAATCATACTTTTCTTTGTAATCTTGTCATTTCCATTTCTTCTATTCCTGTGTTTAATAGAGTCCTTTTTCCATAAGGTAAGCAAAAATTGACATTTAAATCCATTTTCAAATAATCAAAATTTATTAACTATAATCTGAATTAACAGTTTTTTAACCTTATACAAAGTGTAAAACAAAAGTGGTGTGCACATACTAAAATAAAATTTTCAGGACATGATTATAAAATAATGACACCAATTCTATAAAACACTCATGAGAATGACTTACTAATTTATTTTATGTAACAACATTTTAAAACTTTTATAATGCTTGCATACTATCTCAAATACATGGATTCATATGAATTTACTTTTTTTTCTCCCTCTCTTACAGGAAAATATATATGCAAGAGTAAGTACTTTCATTTTAATAAGAGAAATCAAATGTGAAATGGGAGAAAGCTGTTGAATATTTCTATGAAAGTCAGAATTTTTAGTTTTGACAATGATATTTGTTGCTTTTAATAAATAAGTCAAGATTTCAGGCATTCACCCTAGACATTATTGGTGCATTTATTTCCAGTTATCTGAATGATCTTACATATTAAATTATTATCACATGTGCTTTACTAAACTTTTAGAAGAACCTTGGGTACAATTTATTTAACAAGTTTGATGATGCCAGAACTCTCTGGGAACTGCTCATCACACATATGTTTAGGAATCTCATACATTTAGTCTTTAAAAAATCTCAGATTAATGACATAATTAATGTTTTTGAATGATCTATAGATTAATGTACAAAAGATTCCTTATGCATTATAGTAAAATACTAGGTTTCTTCTAATTTAGACTTGTGTGATTTACAAGAAAAAACTCAAATATCCATAAATAGTGTGGAAATGAAATATTAAGAAATGGTTGTCTGCTAGGACATATACTGAGATTATTTTATTAAAACAACACACACATATACATCTTTTGGAAGACAGACATTTTTTGATAGAGAAAAGCATGTCTAGCCTAATACTGAAAGGAAGATACTGACTTAAATACAATGTCAAATTTACTAAAACAGCTTGTTTGGCTTAGCATGCTCAGCCAACAATTGAAGGTCTGATTTCGTGTGTGTGTGTGTGTGTGTGTGTGTGTACACCACAAGCTCTAAACTCCTAAAACTGTATCAAGGAATAGAAAATTAGCAAAATGAAAATTATGGTAATGTAACTTGTTAATACCTGTTATTCATGCTTTGGTGCAGAGCAACTGTGAGGAAAGACAGAATTCCAGAAGTGAAGCAGAGGAATCAGGCATCATACAAGAGCCCTGTAGACCAGGGCTTTATGCCTCTGCCAAGTTGACAAGTTAGTTTCTGACATACTAAACAAGCACCAAGTTCTCTCACTTTGTAAGCCTTTTCTTTCAAAATGAAAAAAAAATTCCTATGGTAGAAACAGATACGAGTAGTTTTCTTCAATGAGTTCCCAGTTTGGAGATAATTTGAATTCGAAGAGACGCATAACAGAAGAGGACTTCTGGTCCTGTCTCCTGCCAGGCTTGTCCTGGCTTCTCTTCAAGGACAGTTGATGGGGTTGGGAGCTGCAGGGACTGCTGTCTCATTCGAAAGCCTGTGCCCCTGGATGTGTGCCTAGGACTGTAGATTCAGATCTCCCTGGGTGATTACAGAAGACCTTCCTATACTACAAATTGTGCTTAGGTTTCCTTTCCTGACACTAGGTGTTCATAACCAAAAGGCCAAAAGAGAGACACAGAAAGAGAGACTCAGAGGAGAGCAAGAGATTCTTCTAATACAGTTAGCATGCACAGGCTTCTACATACAGAACACTTACACAAACAGTACATTGTGTTAAAATGCTTGCTTAAAACATCTCACTAGCTTTGGCAGTAATCCTGCTATGTAGGAGCTGGACTGTGTATGCCGCCTCCGACCTAGTCTGTACAACAAGAATGGAAACGGTAAGAGAGATCACAGCACGAAGCTGGACGAACATCAAAGCCACACCGGCCATGAGTTAGTCTGCTCTGCTGCTCTCACTTGGGTCATGAGGCACACACGCTGTGACATAAAAGGGTAAAATCCAATGTCAAGAGCTGTGTAATTGTTGGGCTTCTTAGCAGCTAAGACCAGGAGTGTTGTAGCAAAGGGTACATTAATCAAATGTGGGTTTCTATATGGCTTAAACAAAATCCCTTACTATGCAAACTGAAAATAGTGGGGGTTTTTTTGTACAATCTACATTTTAAAAAATACAAAGAAAAACAAAGATATTTATAACTTCTAAAAGGTTTACTTTGACTTACAATTTTTTTGCAAACATCAAAGACAGTATTAAAGTGCCAAGAATCAGACAATCCCCCACCAAAGAGTCCCTCAAAGAAGCATCTGGTGTAAGTCCTATGTTCCAAGACAAGAAAAACATACCTGTTCTAAATTTAACTGTCTCTAGAATTGTAGTTTCTCTTGTGTTTTTACTATTTCTATTAATAGTAATAGAAACACTATTCTATTTCCATAAACCTCAAAATGTTATTTTCTCTTTTATTATACTTTGTTTTTAAAATTATTGAAGAAACACTGCAAAGTATAGAATCAAAATGAGGATAGCAAAAACGACCAATAATCACATTCCAGAGTTAGCTATTGTAACATTGCTTGAGTCCCTCACTTCACTGCAATTTTTTCTCTCCACGCATGTATATTGACTAAAATAGGACCGCTATGTATTTCTTGGATGTCAGCTTGCTACCTTATTCATCAATACATCATGGATATCTTTCTATATCAGTAAATACAAATCCACATTATTGTATGACTGCTAATATCCTATCTGATATGTGTATCATACTTTACCAAAGCCTTACACATATTTGAATTATTTGTCTTATAAAGGTTGATGTATGTGTTCATTCTTATACATGATCTTTATACAATAATTCAATTATTTTCTTAGGATTAATTTCTAAAAGTGGAATTGCTAAATCACAGGGATTTTGATACTTATTGCCAGAAAATTTAAGAAAAGCTGACCCTAATTTATACTCCCAGTACCCATACATTAATTGACCATTTTTCTACTACTTGCCGGCAATAGGTACAATTAATGCTTGTATCTTTATGACTTATGGTGATGTAATAGGCAAAAAGTAATAGTGTATGTTTTAGTTTTCATTAATAATGATCTTAAGCATTTTTCATGTGTGTTTTACCATTTGTACTTTACCTCTAATGAGTTATTTTCTTTGGATCATTCATTCTTATTGAGAAGTTTATCTTTTTCTATTAGATTGATAATGGTTCTTTAACTAGCAAGTATATTAATTCATTTTTCTGTTTTCTGTGCGGGAAATAATTTTTTCAGCTTTTTCACTTGACTTTTAACACAGTTTATGGATGCTTCTGTTTTTGTTTTTACTTGTACATTTTTACAGAGCTAAATTTCTAAATAGACTATCACTTTTTTCTACTATAGCTTTTGGATTTTGTGTCTTGCTAAGAAACTCCAAGATAGTGTAATTTTATATTTTCTTCAAGTTCTTGTATAGTTTCATTTTTATCATTTTCATCTGTTTGGAAATTATTTTGGTAGAAAGAATCCACTTTTATTATTTTTTCTATACCTAATTATCACACCTGCTATTAATTTATTTTTTCCATCAAGTAGGAATATATTTTCTATGCACTTAATTTCCACATATACTTGTATTTTTTTATTTTCTATTTTGTGCTATGCATGTGTACATACCAAACTGCTTTGTTTTTGCAGCTTCATATTCTTATAGTAGATATAAGTAATCTCAGATCAGTATTCCTGCTTTTCAGAATTTTCTGGTATGTCCTTGCATGTTTCCTTCTTTAAAAACTTTCTTTTTGTTAAAATTATATGTACGCATGGTTTAAACAGCTAAATAGTTCTACAGGATTTAAGAAAAATAGTAGTTCCCACTTCTCCTACCTGTTCCTATGTGCTCCTCACCACAAACAAATGTGAATAATTTCATATCTTTTAGTTAAGTATTTTGGCATTTATCTTCATGACTCTAAAAATATGTTTGGTTTTCCCTTTTTAGGTACTATGTATTGACAAGAATTTTGTCTCTTCCCTACCCCATCTCCACTAGACATAAACACACACACACACCCTTGCCATCTCTCTATTCTCCCTAAGTAGTTATGTTGTAATTTGGTTTGGATAATAATTAGTGCTTGAATTACTATATTTGAGTAAATTTCTTTTCAGAGTTAAACCTTGGAATAAACTGATTACTTGTTTTTCAAGGAGTTAACTATTGCCTTTCATACTTTTTTAATTTTCTTTGTACTAACCATTAATGCCTAACTCGTAGCCAGTCATCTCCAGGACAACCAGATACATTATGTGTGCTATCAATTTCATCTCCCTAAAAAAGCTTCTCCCAGAGTCTTCTGACCTGTTGAGTTGGGACCAATGCCACTGGACATCACTGTCTTTAGGAACATCTCATCACCCTGGAGATTCTATTTTCAGTAGAGGACACCCTTCAGTAGTTTCCTCTGTGAATCTCAGATTGCATAGAAAGTAAAATTTTAAGAAATTTTATATCCAAAATACCTTTGTTTTATCTTCATACTTAATTTGTAGTTTGGTTATGTATAGATCCTAAATCAAAAATCATTCATCTTCAGAATTTAAAGGTAATGCTTCATCATTTTCTGGCTTTTAGAATTGTTACAAGAAATCTGAAGCTTTTTCTGATTCCTAAGCATTTGTTTGTACCTGTTTGTTTATATTTTTCTCTGAAGGATTGTAGGATCTTCTCTTTGTCCCACAAAACCTGAAGTTTTGTGAATTCCAAGGTGTGAATCCATTTCATCCATTGCACTGGGTACTCAGTGAATTCTTTTAACCTGCTAACTCATGTCCTTTTTTTGACATATTTCACTGACCATTTCCTCCCCATATGTGCTCTGAGCTCTCTTTCTGGGATCCATTTTTCCAATATTGGACCTCCAAATCAGTCCTCAAATTTTCTTGTGTTTTTCTTCTGCTTTCTATCTCTTTGTATTTTTGCTTTTCTCTCTGAAATTTCCTGGACACTTTCTCCAACATCTGTGAATTTTTATTTCTACTATCATCCTTTCAGTTTCCCAAGACTTCTTTCTCAGTCCTCCAAATGATCTCTTTTATTTATATAGCACACTAAGAAATAGGCTGTTCCTTAAACAGTTTTGCAACTAGTAGTTCTTATTCTAATCCCCACCTCCTCTCTCTCCACTTCCACAGGTTCTCGGAGACTCTAATTAATAAACCTTCAGAGGAATGACTAAAATTATTGCTTCTCCATGTTATTGGTTCTCTCTGGTCTGCTGTACTATTCATTCTTCTCCTATATAGCTTCTTCTAAAATTTGTTAACAGTGCTGTACTTATTTTCACAGCTATGTTCTTTTTATGGAAAATGCTTTGTTTATTATTTTCCAAGGAATATACAACTTCTTCTAAAGTTGACTTAACATGTTTTAAAAGAAAATTAAATTGAAAAAAATTCAATAATAGTATACCTGTTTTGTGGCTACTGTAAATAATTAAATTTAGGACGCTTGTGGTCATAAAACAGAGGAAATTCAAAGCAATATAATCATACATGATTGTTTTTCCTTCCTCTCATTTTCTTCCTCTAATTAAGAAATATAGATGTACCTCAGTGTTGAATACCTGACTTTTTCTGTTTTCCACTATAATTTTTAAATTGTGTGAATATCATTTTGTGTTTCCTTATATTTGATCTGAAGCTCTTTATCCGGCAAAACTGGATGGTGCTAAAACAAAGCCATCTGTGTTTGCTTGACTTTGTAAAGTCCCAATAATAGTTTGTAATAAGATTAGTGTAGCTACTTATTGTACTAAATACTTGCCAAAGTATTCATGAAAAGACAGAGGAAGATGAAACAGAATTAACAAATTAATAGCTACATTAGTTTTCAGTCAGGTATGTTTAGGGCATTGTTATACATTTGGGTACTTTCTGTGGGGGAGGCAAGTGAAAATTGCCTGCTTGGCTGAACGGGGCTATAGCACACACAGGACTCGTCCACCTCCACAGTTATCAGAATTTAATCACACTGGGAGGGATTAGATGGGGTGAGCTTTGTGGCACTGAATGCCTGGTATGTCATTCTCTTGTAACACATCCTCTATCTCTCCTGTCATATTGCTTGTCTGTGTGATGCAGATACCAGAACATCATTGCTCATCACTTGGGCAACTGTCTAAGGTGGATGTCTGAAAACAAAAGTGGGAGATTTCTCATTTTTGAAAAACCCTTTTTAAAAACATTTGCATTCATGATGCTTTTAAGAGAAACATTTTTAATTGTTATTACTGTCATTTGAAACATAAAAGGGGAAGAATAGATCTTTGATGTTAAAGAGTGATGATTCCAGAGAGGAAGTGCTATGATGAAAATAAAATAAGGAGATGTGATAGAGTGGTGTGTGTGTGTGTGTGCACGTGCATACATGGGTGCATGTATATGTGACAATAAGTGTTTCTTAATTCTCATTTATCAAATGAAGAGCTCAGTTAAATGGCCCATAAAGGTGCCTTCAGATCATTTCTAATGATGCAACTTTTCTAATTTTGTTCAACATTTTTTAGACCCATTTCACTGTTCCCATTATGTGGTCTGTTGTCTATCCATGTTAGTGCTTAAAAAATAATCAATGAAGAATGAAATTATCTGCCTGCCAGGATTTGAGAAGAGTGCCTATAGTCTCTACTAAATAAAAACCTAAAGGAAAACAAATTAGTTCATTTGTCCACCAGAAGAGACTCAAAGCATGATTACTACCCATTTTCCATTTATGCTATATTTTTATTTGCCTCTTTACATGGAAAGACTTTTAGAAACTACTGCCTTGTGGCTGAAAAAATGAATGACATTGGGTTGGACAATGGCATGACCAAGCTTGTAGCTTTTTCACCTGAATGCTCACTTTTGTGTAGCTGTCTGAAGATACGTTGGCTGAGAATTCACCATGGAAAGCCATTGTGGGATAGCAATGATGAGTGAAAGTAATGGCATCTATTTTGAGAGATGTTACTTTATTATAAATCTCTTTGAGGGGCTATGGACCCCTGAAATAATATAAATGCAGCTTCTCAATGTGGTAGAAAAGAAAATGTTTTCTTTTGAATAGGCAAGTCATCTGTTTAGATTATTTTAAATGAGTTTATTTTCTTCACTAATAATCACAAAAATAGCAAGAAAATGCATTTTTCTTGGTTGTCATGGAAAAATACATTGCAAAGTTGTCTCTCATTATTATAAAGCCTGTTATTAAAAAACCGTTAGTGGAACATACATGAAAATCATGCTTTGAGTCCCTCTTGGTGGACAAATATATTCCTTTGCTTTCTCTTAGGTTATGTTTAGTAGTAGGATTGCTTCCTTCTGTCATTCATTGCTCTTGCTTTCATTTAAAAATTGTACGTGGCCAAATAGAGGGAAGAAAGGGGGGAAATTTTTTAAAAATCACAAAAAATGAAAAGGAATTAATAAGATAAATATTTGCAAAACTGATATTATTTACCTCTACTGTAGAGGCAAACCAAACTTACTGGACATGGGCTCCTTGATGATCAAACCAATTCAGCGTGTGATGAAATACCCACTATTATTGTGTGAACTTCGAAATTCCACCCCTCCCTCTCACCCAGACTTTAGAGCACTGGAGGATGCCTTTGCTGCGGTGAAAGACATTAACGTAAATATCAATGAACTGAAAAGACGGAAAGATTTAGGTAAGAAGAGAGATGATGAATTGAACATTTCCAAGATTGGAGTCTTCTGTTTATGCTTCTGAAAATCGGAATGTCTAAGCACTTATAGCAGTTGCAGTGAACATGATCATTTGATTTCTGGGGTTAAAGGCTAGGGAGGAAAGTGGGATTTCGCCTTGCCTGCTGATTTCAGGAGAAGATCATGAGGCCAAAAAAATGACAATTTATTATCAAGCAGCCCTAAACTCACCCTCTTTTGACTACCACATATCTGATGACATATCGGGGGCTGACGATCCCTGTCATATTGATTGCTCCTGTCATCAGCAGTGTGAAGGGTAGGAAGGAGACATGGCATGTCAGGTAGCTGGAAGGGTGGGAAGCCTGAGTCCAGAGCAGTGGGAAGGGGCAGATCCAGGTGAGGGGCCCATCACGTTCATCTGGTTCTGGCCCACCAAGAGTAGAGATGTTTTGTTAATAATTGCTCCACAGAAGGGAGCAAATATATTTCTTTCCCAAATAAACAAATTAGTGATAAGCATTTGTTAGCTGAGATGTAAAATTCGTGTCTAAAGTAGGATGGAAATTTCAAAACAGGAGGCACCATTACATGGTTCCTACCAACCCAGATGTCACAATGCCTTGGAAATGGCATGGGCCCTCCCTCAGTGTGACTTGTGTCCACGAGTGCTTAATTGGCTTTGTACTTCCAGCATTAAATCTCAGTTCGACATTAAAGCTATGATAGGACTTTGGAGATAATTCATCTAACCACTTCATTTATTTTTAAGGTTCTTATTTTCTAATTTTTTATTTCAGTAAATGGTATGTATTTGTATTAATTAATTAAAATTATGAGGAGCATAGAGTAAAAAATGAAAGCTGTAGAGTAGAAGACACCATAAACAAAATGGAAAGACAGCCCACAGATAAAGGATTACTATCTGGAATATAAAATTACTGATATTAATAATAACATTCTAATACAAAAAAAGGATTTGTAATAAAAGTAAGCAATTAACAGAAAGACCAATGTTTTTAAATGTTAAGTTTCACCAATATTCAGGGCAATGCACATTAAAATTACAGTGACACACCATTTGCAACCTATCGTATTGGCAAAGATATTTTTAATGGATACTGTCAAGTGCTAAATGTCCATCTGCAGGTGAGAATGTAAATTGGAATCACTACACTGGAGACAATTTGACAATGTCCAGCAAAGCTGAAGGTGCACACATCCGAGACCCAGAAAATCAGTTTCTAGATATTTGACAAATTTTTGCCCATTTCATCATAGAGAGGTACACTAGTAACTAGCTTTGTTTGTAAGAAAACAAAAAAGAAAATGGCCTACATATTTATTCCATAATTGGTAGACTCTATTCCATACTATGATACCGTAAGAACATAGAAATTAATTAAGGTACATATATCAGTTGGACGAATCTTATCTTAAAAAGAGTGTTGAGTTTTTAAAAAAGTAAATTAGTGACAGGAGAATATAAGTATTATGGTATCACTTTTACAAAGACTGAAAACACTCAAAATAACACCATGCATTGTATGACACACATACATGGTAAAGGCATAAAAATAGATACAGATATAATAAACCCCATCATTTAGGATCACAATTCCCTTTAGGGATCAAATATGGGGATTAGAGAAGCTTCAAATGTTATGTGATTTTTTTAAACAAAAAGATTGGAAACAAGGAAAAATGTTAAAATTTGACAAAACTGGGAGATGGGCAATAGTTGTTACATTATTCTTTTTACTTTTTTGTTTGTTTGCTTGTATTATTTCAATGTTTTAGAGAGGAAAAATTTTCTACTCCCATAATTTCAGTATGCAGAGCTAACATTTTAAGTTTCTTCAGACTTGCTAATTTTTAAAATTTTTCTCTTTTCTCTCTCACGCTCTCTTCTCCTTTCCTTCCTTCCAGCAACATATGTGTACTACAGTTTCCTGGATTTTTAACAAATCATATACCATGAACATTCTTCCAGTTAATATGGTCTTCTTTTTAATAGTTCCATAATATTCCATTTATGAGTGTGTCATAATTTATTAGACTATTCCTCATGGTGTTAGGGTCCAGGCTTCCGAGGCTTCCCCAGAGAACAAACTACACAGGCATAGAGATGTAAATCCAAGCAAAGTCTTTATTCAGCTAGCTAGCTGAGGTCCAAGTCAGCCCGATGCAGCGGGTCTCAACAAGGACCCTGAGCACTCAGAGCCAAGGGTTTATATAGCAATTTCAAAGCACTTAACTCATAGCAATTTTCTATAACTATACATTATTCTTGCAAGACATATATCCTGGGGTTAAGCAAGGGCAGGGTAAGACTACTCCTCAATGGTTAGGGAGGTTCTGCACGATAAGCTTGGTATGTAAGATTTACTGACCAAGGTTAGCTGACCAAGGGTCACAGCTGCCCACCACCCGGTGCTCATGATTAACTTGTTTTTCAAGGCCTTACCCAGGTCCAGGGTTTGTTTTTTTTGTTTTTATTTTTTTCCTCTGAGTCACACTCTCAGAAAATGGTTTCTAGGTTTCTAAGATGGCTATGCTTATGCTAATTTACTAATCTTACTAATGCTTAGATTCTACATTTCCCCACTTTCCTTTGACCATTCCAATCATGGAATGTTTGTTTCTTCCTGCTGTGTGAGTGAATGATACTGCGGTCTCAGCATTAGCACCTGAACAGCACTCACTCTTTCCCTAACAAAGGCTATTAGCCGGTTTAAGATACAGGGACCTAAAGTGAGAAGCAGTATAAAAATAAGCAAGGGCCCTGCCAGGGTGGATATCAGGGTTGTAAACCATGGGGATTTAGTAAACTAGGATTCAAATAGCCCTTGGCTGGCCTCTCGCTCTCTCTTCCTTTGATCTGGTCTCTCTCTAAGTTTAGACATTGAATCTCTTACTATTCCGGAATGGTCTGCTGTTAAGGTTTAGCTAAGTTTTATTAGTTCTTCTTCCTGACTCTTAATGCTCTCTGCACTCCTTTACAATGGATAAACTTTAAGATTGTTTCTAACATTTTGCTATCAGAAAAAAATGCAATAGCAAACAAAAATGTCCTATGCTTGATTATGGGAAGCCGATTTCTCTACATTGACTTCCTGGTCATATACTATGAATATTTCCATGTTTATAAGATTCTGCCAACCTATTCTCTACAAAAATTTTGTTGGTTTAAGAATAATTGCCCATCTCTCCACACCCTTACCAAAATTGAATGTTAAGAATATTTAACATTTTGAACGTGATAAGTGAAAATGATTTTAAAGATAAAGTAAAGCTCAGAGAGATGATTCAACTTACCTAAAGTGTCTGAACTAGTGGACAGCCACTCTAGGATCTGAAGTCGCCTTGGATGCAATTGCCTTTTCATTAGGTACGCCTTGGTGCTTCATTCTAGAGACCTCGGATTTAAAAAAAAATGAGCATCTGAGAAGAGAGAAAGAGCTTTTTTTCCAGTATCAGAGGTTTCTTTAATGTGGGAGTGTCTTGCCTGAGGGTTTCTGCCCCAGGCAAGTTCACTATGGATTTGGTGATACAGAAATGACAATGGAACGTTCTTTATACCTGCCTTTATTCTCAAGGTGGTAGGTCGAGCACTAGAATCAAGTCTGCATCCAGCAGTCTGCAGGCTCCTAATCCACCTCTGTCTCTGCCTCTGCCTAGAGCACTGGGCAGAGCTCCTTACATAGTGACTCAGTCAATAAATGCTTATTGCCTGCGGGTGTGGAGAATAGTTTAGGGTCAGGTGAGGATCTCCGGGAAGATCCTGAGGGCGTAGGAAGTTCTAGTTTCCCCACAGGCAGGTAAAATGAAACTTGGGCTTTGAGGAGCTCAAGCCCTTTGACAGCTGAGTTTCTGAAGGTCAGAGGCTAGTTGGAGCTACAGCTGGGCAGTGGGGCTGAAGCATATTGGATCTGCAACAGAAGGCCCAAAATCAGATCGATTTTTATCTTAAATACAAAGATTGAGCTTGAATATTTTGGATGAAACACACTTTCTATGCTGTGCAGATTCAGGTTTGTTATTGCATCCTTCTATTTCAGTTCTAAAGTACAAGAAGAATGATGAGGATGAATCACTTAAAGATAAATTGTCTAAACTAAATATTCATTCAATTAGCAAGAAATCCAAAAGAGTGACAAATCATCTAAAGATTCTGACCAGAGGAGAATCACAGGTAATTCTTCTTCTTGGGCCTCATAAGTTTCCTGGGGCACATGAATGCTGATATTTTTGTGAGGATTTGTTTTGTTATCAGAGCTGTTTCTAGAATACTGAGAATCAAGGTAATTGTCTGAAGCTGTTCATTTCACTCTCTCCTTTGGGGGAAATGGAGGGGAGGTGGTTTTGACAGTATCAGCTATGGTGCTTCCATTCAGGAAATAGAAAGGGGGAGATAAGGACCTGAGGACAGGGCTCAACAGGGACTGCCCCAGGAGCCTGACTCTCACCATCAACTGGCACATAAGCTCACCCAAGGCAGTGCTCTCCATTCATCCCTATCTTATTTCTGCTTTTTAAAAATTTTGCTTCCTTTAGGGCTCCCTTGATGTTCCTCTTATCTTTATTTTACCTATTTAAAAAAGTGTTGAGGTGCCTAACATTAGTGATTTTTTCCTCCCCTTTCTCCCCGTCCCCTGCCTCCACTCACCAGATGCACATTATATTATGTGGGAATTGTTTTGTGTCAGCTGTTTAGCCTGTTCTGAATCACTTGCATCTGGGTGAGAGTAACCTAACAAGTTTGCTGTAAGATAGACTTCAGGGTTCCACCTGGTTCAAGGGTGGAACGTAGAAGCCTGTATTTTTACAAAAACTCCTGGTGTTTTGGAGCTAAATGACCTTGAAATAAGTGACCGATGAAACATACTTTGAGAATCACAAGGTAACAAGTTCATGGTCTGGAGGTATTAATACAGCGGGTCCATTTGTCTTGCCTGAGGGTTTCAGCCCCAGGCAAGTTCACTACCGATTCGTGAGACTGAGAAATGACAACAGAACATTCTTGGGGTAAAGGGTTTATACCTGGCTTTATTCTCATGGTGGTAGGTCGAGCACTAGAATCAAAAGTAAGCAGGACATTTCTTATGACACTGGACAGTACCTTTTTTTCTTCTCTTTTGCCTGATTTCATCCCTTACTATGTTAGCATCTCTAGCTGAGGTTTTTAATTTTAACCAGAGGCAACTGTAAGGTGGTTCAGCACCGGTTTCAGATGGTTCATCCTCTTCTACCTTATTCTTCAGCTGCTGTGGACTTTCTTCCTTTTTCTATTAAGTCTTTGCAGCTTTCTGACCACTAAGCTAGAAGAGGCCTCTTCCTCCCTGAATACCTAACAAACTTACTGAGTGTGTCCCAATTTTGACACTGTTCATATTTGCAGGAGTCAGCACAGGGCAGAAATTAAGTAATAGTCTTTGCAGTCATCCAGATCTGGGTTTGAACCTCACTTCTGCCACTTAATAAATATTTGTCTTTGGACACCTAACTTAAATTTAGTGTAACTGTCTTGTCAAAGAGTTTCAGCCCAGACCCCTCTGCCCACACTGCCATCCTCTGGGCCTCTGTCCTCTGCTCTGCTCTCTTGCAGCCTTGCAGCTGTGCCACCTTGTCACTCAGAGCACTGGGTGGAGCTCTTTATATGGAGTCAATAACAACTTATTGCCCACCCATGTCTAGTGAGCTAGCTGACCAGGGCCAGGTGAGAATCCTGGCCACAGGAACCTTCACTTTATTCACAGTAACCATCCGTAAATTGGAAATTATACTAGGGCCTAATACATGTAATACTCCTACATATAGGAGCTAATATATATATATATATATATATATAGCTCTCAATATATAGTCATTATCACCATCATCATCATTATTTTATATCATTACTTGTATTGTGATTTACCTTTTAATGTGCAGACTTATTTCCCATGTGGACATAACTCCTTAATGCATAGTATATTAATCAGATCTTTTACTTTCTGCGTTTTATGATGTTTTGACATCTTAAAAAAGATTGTTGGCTGAGGAGAGATGCCCCTCCCAGAGCTAGCCTGTTCTTAGACAACTAAGAGCTCAGCTGGGATCATTTCTGTCACTGAAACTAACCAATCCTTTGTTTTACCCCCACCCACCTCTTTAACTCACACACCTAGCAGTGTCTCTCTGCCCTAAATCATACCAGAAAACCAGAGACCACCCCTGTAGCCCAAAGCCCAAGGGAATTATTCGACTAGGCCAGTTCTAAACTGTTTACCCTGTCTTAGTTGTTTTCTTGTTTTCCCACAAAAAAAAACCTTCAATAAAGGCTCTGGCCTGAACTTTCTCCTTGTTCCTATCATCTGACCAGAACCTATTGATTCCTGTGTGGCACACAATGATCCCCTCTCTAGGACTTGTAAGTATAATAAACTTCCAAGACTTCTCATTTCCACCTGTGGCTGCACTGCCTTTAAAAACCATACCATAGCCAGTATGGACATTCTTAGAACACAGGGCTTCTGTCAATATGAAACTTACTTCTTTATATTCTTCTAGGAGCTCACTGGGTCCATTTGTCTTGCCTGAGGGTTTCAGCCCCAGGCAAGTTCACTACGGATTCTGTGAGACTGAGAAATGACAACAGAACATTCTTGGGGTAAAGGGTTTATACCTGGCTTTATTCTCATGGTGGTAGGTCGAGCACTAGAACCAAGCCAGCCTCCTGCAGTCTGCAGGTCCATAATCCACCTTTGACTCTGCCTCCACCCAGAGCACTGGGCAGAGTTCTTTATATAGTGACTCAGTCAATAATAGCACATTGCTTACAGGTGTGGGAGCAGTAGCCTAGCAGTAGGCCAGTCACATCATCAAGTAGTGTAGGGTCAGGTGAGGATCCTGGCCATAGGAATTTCCATTTTCTTCACACCACTGCATAAGGGAAGCAACTCCCAGCCCCTGCTCTCAATGTGGAACTGTGACGTAGTATGTTTGGTGAATGATGGTGGGTGGTCATAGATCAGAGAGAGGAAAATCAAAACATTTCAACTAAAGACAACAGTAATTAAACTGAATTGGGAATTCATTTGAAAGAATGTATGTGTAAATGTCGTGCAAACAATTCCCCTACTCTTTGGGATGTTGCTTCTGACTCAGGACAATTCTACTGAGGAATAGCAGCCAGGTTTTAATTCTGGGGAGGCTTTTTTAGAAGCTGTTACATTCTTTAACATTTATCATCAGCTTCTGATATTTTCAATTGTGAACTGAAAGTGAATTGTAGTTAGTGGCTAGAAGGGATATTAATTAGATTTTCCCCTTAATCTTTTGAGAGGGTGTCCTGTCAGCAATGAAGCATTTCACTGTTAATCAGAAATCAGCTGCATAGGCTGGACTGCAGAAGAGATAAATCTCAAATCAATCAATTTTGCACTTGTCAGCAGCTCAAGTGAAATATTTAGTGGAGTTAGGGCATAAAAGTATTACCCAAGAGGAAGATTCCATTCAACTCATCACACATGCATTGAACTATTATGTACCAGACCCTGTGTTAGAGATTCAGAAAGAGGTTGTTAATTCATACTACTTGGGTTTGAATACTGATCCTACCTATTAACTTGGGTAGGTTTCCTTAACTTTCTATATTAGGGCAAAGGCCAAGCTTCTGTCACAAAGAGATTCCAAACATAGTAGCTTAAGTCAGATAGTCATTTACTTCTCTCTTTTTTATAATCCTCAGATGTGAGAGACAGGCTCTTCTGCACAATCTCCTTGAGCAACCCAATTCTCCCCAGTTGTGTGCTGTGTTGTTCCCCAAACACATTCTCTTCATCTGTCTGAAGCTGGGTCACTGCCATGTCTTCATTTAAGTCCTAAGGACAATTATGAGGCCAAGATTCGGAAATGAAACACATCACTTTTGCTTATATCCTATTTGCCCAAACCCAGTTACAAGGGCAGAGCCAACTGCCAGGGGGTTAGGAGCGCAGTCTCTAGAAAGGCAGCTATGTCTTTGACTTACACTAGAGATGTGGGTCTATCAGTGCAGGATGACGGGGGAACGTTAACAATCTGCCACACCTCCGCAGACTTCCTTTTCTTCATCTCTAAAATGGGATTAATTGTAGCACCTACCCCATAGGATTATATAAGAATTAAAATGAGAAATGGAAGACAGGTTTTAACACAGTCTGGAACATGATTAGTGTTTAATAAATGTTAGCTATTATTATTATTAAGACAAAAATACTTAATCTCAAATGCTTGCAATCCATCAGTGGAAAGAATCACTTAAATAATTAACTAGTGTTGTGAGAGCACCTAAGAGGGAGCAATTAATTTTCTACAGTGGAGAGAATAGGAATTTGAGGGAGGATTCATAGAACCAGTGACAGTTGAATAAGTCCTTAAAATAACAATAAACAGGATTTTTAAATGCAGAAAAGAGCAGCATATTCCAGCAAAATAAGGCAGCATGAGAAGGGCTTGGCTATAAAGAAGAACTGGGCAATATTTCTCATAGTGTGATCCTTGAACCTCTCACTTTAGAATCCTCTGGGTCTCAGCCAAGATACAAAAAATAAAATAGCTGCTGATGGATCCTTGAAAACTACTTTAAAAAAATCTGTCCCAGCATATTGTTATGTACATCAAACTGGGTTAGAGCATAAAGATCCCAAGGCAGAGGGTGTTGAATCTTTTGTGGATTACAAAGAACTATGCTACCTATTTAATCAACAGCTTTCTAGATAAACAATATTAAGGGGTTTAAAAATAAAATGTCACCATTTTCTATGCATTCATTTCGAAGGCCAGCCATCTTAAATTAACAAATATATGGCCCAAGAGCAGCTACGGTTATTACCAAGCTGAAGAATACACACTATATTCCTCAAAACATTTGCACGTTCACACAGATTTTGCAGGTGTGAGGCTGATTCTGATTTTCTTCTGTAGACATTTTAATTGTCAAGAAAAACTCACCATTAGTAGTGATAATACGTGTGGGTTCCTAGAAATTGCCACAAGCATATAAAAAGCATATTTTCCTGAATGCTAACAGGTACTTGTAAGATAACAAAAAATCCTCAGCACATGTGACCACTATCTTGACTCTGCTGAGTTTTCCTAACAGAAGGGTTATTTTTGCTAAAAGTACATATCATCTTTGAAATCTGAATTGATAAAGCATTACCCCATTTCTCCAGCCAAGAACCTAAGACTATTTTCTAATTAATCACTGTGAAGTAAAGTGGATGAGTCATATCAGCAAAACAATAAATTCCAGTTAATAGATCAAATTTTTATTTAATTTTAATTTTATTTTTATTAATTATTTTGTAAACCCACTCATGTAATATTATTTAAGAGTATGTGAATAATATATGCCATTAAAAACTGTTGAGAAAAGTGTTACATCCTACAGCTACCATGACATAGGTGAAGCTATGTGAAAACTGAATGCAAATTAAGCTACTGCAATTGAGCATCAATTGTGCTGTGTTGTGTCCTGGTCCACAGAAAGTGCTGTATTAATATAGTCAACATATCATGAAAGGTTTTCATCTTAATGAGATATTTTTGTAATGTGGTGGGGCAATACAGTTCATGTTTTTTTTTTTAAATGCCAGATTCACTTGAGTTATAAAAATCGGTAACTTCATCTGTTTTTTAGGTGAAAGACAATACCTTCAATAGAGAAGAAAAGCTATTTAGATCTTTAGAAAAGACTGTGAGACATTGTGTGAAGAACATATCATTCTGTCTTCAACACATACAGGTAGGTGAGACACAACGTTTTCAATATTTCTACAAGAAGGCATTCAGTGTCACTGGTTGTCATGAAGAGTAAATATGTGAATGTTCATTCATTTCCATGATGACACCCACTGTACTGAATTTGAGGGCTGCAAACTGCTGCTGAAGGAAGGCAATACAAACATTTAGGTTTTGTTCTTCATTCTTTTACCTGCTCCATCCTTCCCCAAATCCGAATCACCAGACGGTGGAGCATTTGCTTATATAATTGCCCCATGGAGCTGGACCATCAAGATGCTTTCTCTATAATAAAGATGAGTTCATTAATGGAAGGTGGAAGACTTCTCTATTTATTTGTTTGATTATAGCAACAGAACTCTTTCCAGTCCTTAAAACAACACACTTGCAAATTTAAAAGTAGGACTTAAAGAAAAAAGAATAGGGAGACATGAAGTGAAATTAGTGAAGTTAAAAAGCAAGAAATGCATAAAATAAAAGCTATGAAAAACAAAAAAACCTATATATGGGTCTCAACTTTACCTATAGGTTACCCAGCAACCAAACCAGAAAAGTCACACAATCCTAAGACAAACCAAGCACCTCGATTTATTTTTATCACCAGTGCTTTGTGATGCTCCTCTGACAGTGCTGAATGAATTCATAGGTGATTCAACTTAGGCAGGGACGTGTGTAGAAAAAAAATCAATATAAAGGAAAATAAATTCTCACAAAATAATAGCTATGCTATGTAAATGGCCCCACACAACTATACTAGAAGGTAAAACACCCCCACAAACTTCCAATCCCCCAAGAGATTTTCCTACCCTCATTGAGAACCACTGACTTAAAACAAAAGGAGCACAATATATGATTCTATTCAGTAGAAAGATCAGAAGTTTCTTCTAATGTATCTCATAAAAAAAAAGATACAGTGTCCTTAACATCCTGACAATGGTCATGACTATGACACATAGAAAGTTAGTAGAATTACATGCAAGTCAGGTAATAGTGGCCCTCTTCCCATTTTCCAGTTTTTCTCTTGCATATCTGTTTTTGGAAACAGATGTCTGAATGCTTAAATATCGCACCAATATCGCACCAACAGAGGACTGAGTTGACAGGCACAATGATTTGGAGACAAGGCTTTGTAACCAACAAGCTACATTCTTTTCTTACTTATTAACTGATGCAAAGCCTTATTTTACAATCAGGTTTGCTAATCTCTTCCTAAAGTGCTGCCTTTTGTGAAAAGAAAACAGAAACCATTATAACAGCGGGAGGGCAGTGGAAACCTTGTCCTTGATAGACATTTCAAGGAGTAAATACCTCTAGGAAACATCTACAGAAAGTCTTCTATTTCCACTAATTGATTCAATAAAACTGTAAGCATCTTCTCCTCAAGAGAACAATAAGTTCACTAAGAAAAACTGAAGACATAGATCAAAGTGGAGTGCTTTTTTTAAATAAGGGATCTGTAAGAATTAAATACTGAAGAAGCACCAGTGAGGAAATTTAAGATGGACTCCACTTAATAAAAGGGTGTAATACAGAGCAAGGGATGGGTAAGGAAATTATTACAATTGATTGATACAAGGAACCTGACACAGAGTATTTATAAAATACTTTTTCTTTTCTTCCTTTTTTTCCTTTTATCTCTCAGTGTTAGAGGAGGATTATCAGGATGAAGCACACCTTTGGGATATGTTAAAGCGTACTGACTTTCAGAACTTTGCCTGTTTTGTGACTCTGTTCTTGGGTTTCAGGACGCCCTGCCCGTAGCTCTGCAGAGTGTAATGGAACTGCAGAAGATTTCATGCAACAAAGATGAGCAGGAGAAAGGCTTTTCAGAGGCCCCAACTAATGCTCCAAATCCCTGTGATGACTTTGTAAGTTATTTATATTCACAAATAAATGCAAATTTTAAAAGCAGGGTTAAAAGAAAAGCTGTTTTTCATTTATTTTCCTGGGGTGAGAAATAAAACAATCACTAAAGTAAATACTACTGTCAAAATTAGATTTAGACAGATTTATTTTACCATTAAAATGTTTTAAGTGGATTAGTGAGACTATTACTACAATCAAAATTTAAGAAGATCTCAGACCTAGGGGTAATCAGAGTCCATGCAGCTTTTAAAATCACCATTTAGTTAAAGTTGGTTCTGTGGTAAAATACTTGATAAAACATTTGATTTCTAAGAGTTCTGTAAAATACAGAATCATAAAACATAGCTTGGGAATCATAAAAACATGTTTGAGCCAAGAAAATAGTTGGGTGGTGTGGGTAAAATTGCAGTATTTCCAGAATCTCTCACCTGGCCTTAATGCATCTCCATATCAATAGGCATTTCCAAGGAGTGGAGAGAAGTAGTCCACCTCTGTATCAATAGGTGACTATGTTGGGAAGCAAGGGCATATCTGGACCAGAGAGATTGGGTGGGATCTTTGCAGCCAGATAAAGAGAGACACAGGTGAGCAGAAGTGGACAACTGCTTGTAAGCAATAAACAGGTTTCTCTGACTTTATTTCTCCCTTTGACTGATTTCAGTTTCAAAGGTAATTTGCCCCAGGCTGGGAACTATTTTTCCCCTGGAGTTACAGGTGGTACATTAGTGTGAGTAATACTAAATATTAAATTTAATTCAATATATTGTATTCCATGTAACCTTATTTCATAGCACTATTTCACCTGTTATATAGAAGATAGAATAGATTCCAGCATCTTGAAAATACTTGAAAGTGGCTTTTTTGTGTTGGCATTACTGGCATTTTGGGTCAGATAAATCATTTACTTACCCTTATATCAGAGGGTGTTTAGCATTCCTGGCCTACCAGGCTCTACATCTCAGTTATGTCCCCTCACCATTCAAGTCATGATGTCCAATGAATATCCATGCATATATCTGAATCCTAAGAATTGATACAGCCCTTCCCCTACTCTCTCCTATAGAAAAAAAATACAGAGATGTACTTTGCTTTCCTGACACTGGGGAATGGAAAGCCAGGATGACATTTGAACTAAGATGATAGATTAGATGAGAGAGAGAAAGAAGTTTTTATGACATACTTTAAATGGAAAAAGTGCAGCTAGTTCTTCCTGCATTTTTCTGGGCTTAACTATAGAGAGCACATTTTAGAAATGTCTTTAAGGATTTGCTCTTCAATTGAATTCCAATTCATTAATTAAGTTGATAAATATTTATTGAGCACCATGTAAGAACATGGTATGCAGCTTGTCCCTCATCAAGCATGTTCCAGAATTTGATGGAAAGAATAGAGGTGTCCTTCCCTGCCTTGCATAAAAACCACAAAATGATAAATTGATCTAGATTAAAATAATTACTAGAAAGCTTGATATGAAAATAAGTTCTTTATGAAGAAAGTATACAGGACTTAAAAAATATTACTAAGAACTCAAAAATCTATTTAAAGACAGAGCAGTTGTCATTATCTAACCATGAGAGATACTTATTTAGACACTTTATATAGAACAAAACATTAAAATAAAATCTGGTTCTGATTTGTTCAAACCATAATTCCTATGCACCAGTGAATTAGTTTATGTCTGTGGATCATAGGATATATACACACACACACACACATATATATATATACACACATATACATATATGTGTATATATATATATACACACATATATACACATATATATATTGAAATTCTATTGTAGTAAGATTACCTGTAGAATCCAGGCAAGTCACAAACACAGTAATTTATCCCAGAACAGTAAAGAGATTCTTTGCTTAGTCAAAGGACTCATTAAATTGTCTGCAGGTGTACACTGATTATTTTATAAGCTAGACATCGAATTTAAGCTGTGTAGGCTATTGCTGGTGCCAATAAAAGATTGGTTTCCCCTGTCTTCTAGATTTCCCATGAGTTCAGACAAAGTTACCAGAGGCTGTTTAAGTTAATTAATACAAACTGATGTTTAGATGCTGATTCCCTAGGACATCTTTTGGGGTACAAAAGAGAAACCTACTTCCAAATTATCACAACATAATCATGTAACCTGAGCATATATGATGAAGGGTAAAGTTGGGCAGTCAGAAAACATAGGATACTAATGCACTTCAGATCATAAGGGGAGGAAGGAGAAATAAAAGAAATTAAATTCAGGCATTGGCATGGGGGTTGGGCATTAATATGAGTTTATTTTCAATGACTCAGACCTAAAAAAGTAACAATTTAAGATACCGAATCAGTATCAGCTTAATCCTGCAATGTATTTAAAGAGGAAGCAGTTAACTCCATTGTCATTTTTATCACAGGAGCAAAATACCTGCAATAATGAGGTACTATCTGTATAGAACATATAATTCCACCACCAGAAATGAGCTACGAGGGTAGCCAGGGAATTGGGGTAGATACGGGAGAAATAAGATACAGTCTTTTCTAAGTCACTCTCTCCCTTTTATTGCCTGCAAAAGGAAGGGATGATACGGTGAATCATTTGCACAGTCTTTTTTTTTTAATTAATTTTTTTATTTTGGTGTCATTAATCTACAATTACATGAAGAACATTATGTTTACTAGGCTCCCCGCTTCACCAAGTCCCCCCCACATACCCATTCACAGTCACTGTCCATCAGCATAGTAAGATGCTATAAAATCACTACTTGTCTGCTCTGTGTTGCACAGCCCTCCCCGTGCCCCCACCCACACTATACATGCTAATCGTAATGCCCCCTTTCTTTTTCCCCACCCTTGTCCCTCCCTTCCCACCCATCCTCCCC